ACCACAAGTCCAAATCCCCATCTCCATCCACGGCTAATTTAGGAAAGGGACAATTTTAGGTAGCTAGCTAGCCAGCCACCACAACGAGATGCAACAATTCAAGTTGTTTCTGTCAATGACATATGCGCTCAACGAGATTTGATAGGAGTGACGCCAAATCCAAAATCCTGGCTTCCCTTGACACTTTTTTTTGGTGCACCAGGACCATTCACAGTTGAGCTCACTCAGTTTAGCTCTATGCTGATTGGCACATTTTTTATACTTTTTTTGTCAAGGGAGGCCAAATGCTCACTGGCTTCCCTTGCCTTCAGTGCTACATGTGGCAACAATGTCATACTTGTTTGGACCAGACAGCATCAGATAGATGGCCTACACATACAGAGACTGGGGCGTTGTTTCGCTCGCTCTGATGCTTTCTCCGGTGAGATACATTCAGCCTCTTGTGAATTGAACGAAAATTATGAAACACAGAGAGACAAAAATAAAATAATGTATGTTCTTTTCCTGGTCATTTTTTTTGGGAAGGCTGGCTTCCCTTGGCATCCATGAATACACTCCACTGTCACACCTATGCCTGCTAACAGTTCCATTTACAAATTATCATTGCGCCTCCATAACAATATCATGTTCATGTTGTTGCCCGAATCATCTCTTGTGCTTATCTCAATTTGCACATTATTCCCCCTTGCTTCCAGCATTTAGTTTGGTACAGCGGGTGTTAATATAAGCCTCACTGTCTGCCTGTCTGACCTCGGAAACAATGTTTCACTTCTGAATTTCGATCTCTGTAGTACACCAGATTTTTGTCCGGAATATATCTTCTGATGAAAGAATGAAATTGTATCTATTGACTTATCAAAACAACGTTTTCATTAAAATGTGTAAATCATTGTTATTTTATCGCGTCGGGCAGAACAATGCCATTTACCTGAGTGCATTAATGATACAGCACTGCCTTTTGTGCATTATTGCTTAATTATATGGCAAATGTGGACAGTATACAGTAAGGCATACTGTACCTGCTGGCACCTGCTCATATAGATATTAATAACATTGAAAACATGGAAAACATGTTACATCATGTGATGCACTTAATTGACTTTTTACCCTAACAGTGTTCATCTCTCGCTCTCTTTCTCAGAACATTTTGGGACCGTTTGTAGCAGAGACGCCGGATAACGTGTGGCGAGACAGCATTTGCCACAGTACTTTTCAATATGAAAAATGAAAGCTACAAAAATACACTTTAGCGTTCTTCTTGGCTAGCCTACTATAGTCCAATATCTATTTTGGAAAGCAATTGTCTTAAAGGGGCAGCATCCTGTTTTGAGATGTACATTTGTTTCTCTCAAAATGACATAGAGTCAAAAATGAATGCAATAAAAATAAAAATAAATGAGTAATGACTTACATTGCAAAATTATATTAAAGATATTGTTAACACATCATAACCAAATAACCAAACTAAATGACACCAATGCATTTAAAAACTACACCATGGTCGGGTCAGTGAGTAAAAAAGTTAAATGTTGGATCCTGTCATAGCCTACGAATAGGACCCAGAGTTTTACCTGACAAGGCCATGAGATCAGGAAGAACTCCAGGCACCAGAAAAGACACATGAATTTTGCCACACCGCTTTTGAACCTGTGGTGCCATCTCTGGTTTGTAGATTAAAGTCTACCAGCCCTGATCTGTAGGGAGAGACACCTGCATGTCCACTGACATAGCCTACCATTGCATTTTAGAGAGTGATCTATCGGCCGAGGAGCAACAAGCTAGCGCTTGTCTAGTGCACCAGAGAAAGCCACCCATGCTCTAGTATAGTAGCAACATGGTCACATCAGAGGGGGAAAGTTTGGGGACCGTTCAAAGAGGTTGATCTAGGATCAAGAATTGATCTAGGATCAGAGGGCAATGTCTACCTACTCCATGCAAACCACTGCTCCGATTGCCTAGTGTCTTCTCAAAGCTGCTGTGCCAATGGGGTGGGGCACGCAGAGCACCCAAGTCTGTCGAGAGACTACGGATTTCACTGCTCTAAATGTATACCTAAAATGTTCCTTGCCGCTGATGCGGGGTCAGATACTTTCATCCCCCTAATGGTTAAGTTTAGGGTTGTGGGTAGGTTGATTTAATGGTAGATCTGTTAAGAGGCAATATCTCTGATTATCCTGACCTGAGCTGCTCCTGTGGTGGGTGTATGATTGCACTGCAGCGGTGCTCAGCCTCCAGACAGGTCAGTAGTCACACATTAACTTCCAATGACTCGTTTCTGAGATTGCACTGAAAGTTCCATCAGGCGGAGAGAACGGGGTCTTTCTCGTGATATCCAAATTGGTAGTTACAGTCTTGTCCCATCGCTGCAACTCCCCTACGGACTCAGGAGAGGTGAAGGCCGAGAGCCATGCGTCCTCCGAAACACGACCCTGCCAAGCTGCACTGCTTCTTGACACACTGCTCGCTTAACCCGGAAGCCAGCCGTACCAATGTGTCTTTCTCCCTTTTTTACGTGACAGGGGGAGAGGATCTGAGCTTAGCCGCTGCAGAGCTGAATAATCGTGTTAACCTAGCTGGGTTTACTGAATTACCTGCAAATTGCGTTCAGGTCTTTTAGATATGGAATAGAAATAGTAAAGTTGTGGCTTGTTTCTGGTGTCCACTTTAGGACATCATCATACCTGTCCGTTTCTCTGAACACCTCAGTGTCACGGTCAGCTATGCTCCTTCCATAGGAGGCTGCTCAGAACAGAGGATGTGAGTGGAGTGGAGCGAGGAGCTTAGCGTGCGTCAGTTGGCTGGAGCAGATTTTTTAAACAATTGGGGGAGCATCGGCCTTCTCTCCCGCTCCAATTAAGCCTATTCTGTTGTATTTATTTAGCCTACCCCACCACTAATGCACAGAGATGTTGATATGAGTCGACCAATACATAGGTCAATGTAACAGTGTTGCTTCAGTCACCCTCTCCTAACCCTAACCTGGGGTCAAACCAGGAACACATCGACAACAGTTACCCTCAAAGCATCGTTACCTATCGCTCCACGCAGAGCAAGGGAAACAACTACTTAAAGGTCTCAGAGCGAGTGACGTCAGTGATTGAAATGCCACTAGCACACACCGCTAATTAGCCAGCCATTTCACACTGGTTACATTTGCAACAGTGCTGAAGTTTTCTATCAACTGTAAAATGTGAGCACAACAGAGCCAGTTACAACTGAAGTATCTGATCATCAATAGATTAGAGAGAAATGATTATTTGACAGAGTGCCCACATAGCCTATTATCAGATATGGGTCCTTGTTTAATAGCCTACGGCCGTTTTTTTTCCTGTGAGCACAGAGATTATTTGTGGAGTGGGCGAAAAGATGTTGAGCACCGGAACGGTGCGCAAATACCGCTCAGTGAGCGATGAGTGGGATTTCCAACAGCTCAACTCTGCTCACATACTCTGGCTCATAATAATGGCCGTAACGGAGCTAATGGTATGTCATCAAACACATGGAAACCATGTATTTTATGTATTTGATACCATTCCACTCCAGCCATTACCACGAGCCTGTCCTCCCCAACCAACCTCCTGTGGCACGGTTCCATTCCTAGAAATGAAAAGAGGAGAAGTAAGGGATGCCCTTCACGTCCTGCACAGAAGGAGGAGCGAAGCCGGGTCAACAACCTCACCTGTTTGATCAGCTGCAGATGCCCCTCTTTCAAACTCTGACCTTTGCTCTCACAGGTGTTCCAGAACAAGGGGCATGGAGGTCAACAAGGGTTGAAAGGTCAACAAAGTATAAACAATGGGGGCCCCAGAGAATTATGGATGTAATGGAAGTTAGATAGTATATCTACCCCACCTCTGGGTAGTCTACATAACTGAAGTTGGGACTTTGACTTCCCAGAATGATTAAAGGGATACTGTGAGATTCTGGCAATTAAGTCATTTTTCTACTTACCCAGAGTCAGATGAACTTGTGGATAAAATGTTATGTCTGCATGCAGTATGAAGGAAGTTAATAGGTAGTTTTGTGAAGCAATGCTAACTAGCGTTAGTACAATGACTGGAAGTCTACAAGTACAGTAGAAATGGTATCCAAGAGTTCATTGGACTCTGGGTAAGTAAAAAATTAAGCTTAATTGCCAGAATCTTGCAGTGTCCCTTTAACCTGATCTGACATTTTAATTAGATTTTGATAAAAATCCAATGTACTGGGTTCTGGGAATCTAGAAATAACCATACAAATACTCCAAAATGTATTCAAGACAGTTGAATGCAACAAGATCCCATTGCAAACTTCTCACTCAGACCAGAACTCCACAGCTTGATAGCTCTCCCACTGTTAGGATTCTTAGCTCACGGCAAAGTTGATGAAACCCTGTGGCAGACATATCTAGTCTGTGGGTAAAGGTCTAAAACAGATTAGTAATATTGGACATGGCCCCAATCAGAAGCTACTTGTTACCTCTCCCTCATATCTGACTGACGAGATAGATATTAGTTATGTTATAACAGCGCCCCCTAGCCGTCTGCTGGGCTAGTAGGAGTAATAACACCAATGGCACCACCCATTGCTTACACTGACCCAGAACGTTCAGTACATTGGGGCGGGGGTATCAAGAAATGCTCATCATCACCAACACTATACTTCTGAGGTTGTGGTCACAATTTAGACAGATTGCGGATACACACAACATAGACAAATACATGGTATAAATGGAATAGAACAAACAAGCCAAGTTTCCCTTTGTTTTGATGATTATATTTCAGCATCTTTTCTTGGAAATGGGGCAGTATATATATAAAAAAAGAAAAATATATATATATACCGACTAAGACTAAATGTCAATCGCTACACCACTCCTGTAGTGCAGGTTGACAGTTGAGGACCCCACACCCCCAAAAAAATCCCTTGAACGACCCTCCACCCCTCTCCATCGATTCCTGTATTCAAAGTCACCTCCTCACCCAATCAACATGTAGAAGAGCAAATTTGGGAACAAATCGGAGCTCAAGGTCAGAGTTCAAGTCCCTCCTTTACCTGGCGGTAAGTGTTCATGAATCAAAAAATAAGTATTAACTTCAAAAAAATATCTGACTTTTGACATCCTTCAGGGGGATAATAGTCTGTAAAGTCTTCCTGAGCCAACTGATGCCAGCTCTGATCATTATTGGGGGCCTCAGCTTATTTCTAACAGTATCATTAATGTGTTCTACTCCGATTGGTTTATTACCTCCGAATAAAACTAAAATCAGAATAGAATCCATTCGGTAATTGAAGATGAACAACAATGCCTACTAAAAAGAGTACACAGGCCAGTCACTTCTTCCCAGTGGAATGATGGGTAATGAAGTCCATCCACAGTTTGGCGTCCCCAAATAGGGGCATGGTCTAATTCCAAAAGAACAAAAGCTCAGGGGTAGCAGCCTGTAATGTCCTCCCGGGTCACTGGTGATATGGGCGTGGTCTGAAGATAGAAAATGCATGGCTTAGTTCCTCTCCTGCACAAATACAGTCTCCTGTGGACAAAGCCCTGCCTCCTGCAGTGTGATGTCATAGTCCAAGTGGGCCAGCTTCCGTCGGGGGAAGTTGGTGACGAGCTCGAAGCGTTCGTTGGGGTAACCCTTCGACTGGACATGTCTAACCAGAGCCTGGAGGGGGTGGAGGACACAGTGGAAGGTAGGTAACAAGTCATGGTAACGCTTTACTAAATAATGCTTTATAACTGCTTTATAAAGAGTTATATGCATGTATGAGCCTTTATAATGTCTTATAATCAGGCTTATAATATGTTAATGTTCACTACATGACCAAAAGTATGTGGACACCTGCTCATCGAACATCTCATTCCAAAATCATGGGCAATAATATGGAGTTGGTTCCCCCTTGGCTGCTACAACAGCCTCCACTCTTCTGGGAAGGCTTTCCAATAGATGTTGGAACATTGTTGCGGGTACTTGCTTCCATTCAGAAACAAGAGCATTAGTGAGGTCGGGCACTGATGTTTGGCGATTAGGCCTGGCTCGCAGTCTGCGTTCCAATTCATCCCAAAGGTGTTTGATGGGGTTGAGGTCAGGGCTCTGTGCAGGCCAGTCAAGTTCTTCCACACCGATCTCGACAAACCATTTCTGTATGGACCTCGCTTTGTCCATGGGGGCATTGTCATGCTGAAACAGGAAAGGGCCTTCTCCAAACTGTTGCCACACAGTTGGAAGCACAGAATCGTCTAGAATGTCATTGTATGCTGTAGCGTTTAGATTTCCCTTCACTGGAACAAAGCGGCCTAGCCCAAACTATGAAAAACAGCCCCAGACCATTATTCCTCCTCCACCAAACTTTACAGTCAGCACTAGGCAGGTAGCGTTCTCCTGGCATCCGCCAAACCCAGATTCGTCCGTCGGACTGCCAGAAGGTGAAGAGTGATTCGTCACTCCAGAGAATGCATTTCCACTGCTCCAGAGTTCAATGGCGGCGAGCTTTACACCACTCCAGCAGACGCTTGGCATTGCACATGGTGATCTTAGGCTTGTGTGCAGCTGCTCGGCCATGGAAACCCATTTCATGAAGCTCCCAACGAACAGTTATTGTGCTGACGTTGCTTCCAGAGGCAGTTTGGAACTCGGTAGTGAGTGTTGCAACCGAGGACAGACGATTTGTATGCGCTTCAGCAATCAACGGTCCCGTTCTGTGAGCTTGTGTGGCCTACCACTTCGCGGCTGAGCCATTGTTGCTCCTAGACGTTTCCACTTCACAATAACAGCACTTATAGTTGACCGAGGCAGCTCCAGCAGGGCAGAAATTTGACAAACTGACTTGGTGGAAAGGTGACGACGCCACGTTGAAAGTCACTGAAATTCTACTGCCAATGTTTGTCTATGGGGATTGCATGGCTGTGTGCTCAATTGTATACACCTGTTAGCAATGGGTGTGGCTTAAATAGCTGAATCCACTCATTTGAAGGTGTGTCCACATACTTTTGTATATATAGTGTACCAGGGGTTGGGGTCAGCTGCATTTCCACTCAGTCAATTCAGGTGATAAATTGAACATCAATTCTTGAACTGAAAATTGACCAGGATTTTGTTGTGGACTTTTGTTTTTTTTCATTAACTGAATTGAACACAAGGCCTAACACAAGAGTACATTCTCACCATAAGCTTGGCCTTGGACGACAGGGCGATATGCTCTCTCTGTCCGTCTGGGTAGCGCAGCATCAGTCTGGCCTTGGGACCTGGAGATACAATACAGAAAGAGTGCAGTCAGAGTAGGGATGGATGAAGAAGTAGTCGTAGATACACACACACAATCTCAACATTCACATCCAGACACTTGAACATGATGCACAGACACACACAGGCATAATTTTAGTACCATTGTCATGAAGGCAGTCGATGTCTGAGGTTTCCGTCTTAACAGATTTGGAGCTTTGGCCCATTGAGGTGCGATGGTTCTCCCCAGAACGATGCTCTGAATCTGGGGCGGCCTGGGAGCGGGCCGGGGCGGCCACCGGAGGCTCCAGGTGGTTCTTTTTGCTCTCCTCTTTCCTGTGGCTGTTCTCTTTGTGAGGGGACTTCCTGTGACGGGCGGGAGGGCTGTCCGGCCGTGGCGGGGGCTGGGGGGCTACAGCTGCAGATGTGGGAGGGGCTGGTCCAGGAGGGGTGTGTCCACCCGTGGAGCAGGAGCTGCCCTCCTGGGGTTCTGTTGTCTCGTTGTCCGAGCCGTCGACGGAGATGTGGCCCTCGCTGTCAGAGAAGGGCTCCGCGTCCGAGTCTCCGTCCGAGTCTGCATCTACAGAGCGGGGGGAGTTGGGGAGGTCGGGGGCGGAGGAGGACTCATAGTGGGTCTCCTGGAGAGACGCTTTGATGGCTGCCTCCAACTGGCTGTCCTCACTGGCGTCTATCAGACTTTCCTGAGAGAGGGGGAGAAACAGACAGAAGAGAGAGACCGAGAAAGAGAATACATCAAACAGTGATGAGGAGAGAGAGCGTGAACAGAGTGAGAGAATAAAGTGATAATGTGACTGTAATGAGCAATATGGACAGTATTTAAGAAGATGAAAAAGAGAGAGTGAACAGAGACTCACAGAGCGGGCCCGTTTGGCCAGGGGCGGGTGGCTGGACGCCGGGCCGTCTAGCTGGCCGTGTTCCGTCAGAAAGCCTGTCACCTGTTCCAGAAACGACCCGACATCCAACTGGTTCCACTCCACCATCTTCTGACCTGCAGAACGGTCAAACATGAGCATCGTCAGTAAGACTTTCAAAACCTTTTTAGTATTAGTAACTGTTTAAACACTCAGAAACCCAGAGCAGGCCTCACCTGTGCGGGGGTCCAAAATGGAGATATAGGGAAACTTATTGAGCTTGTAGAACTGGATATACCTCTGTCCCTCTTCACTGTCATGGTATACCTGTCAATACACACGTGCACACACACATATAAATGCAGACACACACACAGCAGGCCAGCTTCCCTCAACACACCTCTACGGCACACAGTGTATACGCGTGTGTGTGCGTGTGTGTGGATGTGACAGCTTGTGTATGCATGAGAGTTACGAAGGAGAAAAACAAAGTTACAGTAGCTCGTCCAATCGGTGACAGATTTTCATGCGAATATTCTAAAAATGTGCATAAAGAAAATGTGCATTTTCCCACCAGTGGTGTTTCCACTAAATAGGACTTGTTAAAGATAACAATCAGTGCGTGAAGACTTAGTGCACATAAAATGTACTTTTTTGCTTAAGTTCTCATGTACCGAATAAAAATCAAAAGTTCAATGTGTTTCCATCGCATTTTCAACTCTACCGATAGTTTTGTCACAAAACTTGTTGCATTAAATAGCAAATGTGCCTACTCTGGTCTTGGCACGTACGCTCTAGCTAACAGCTGGCAGACAGTGTGGGTAGGCAGTCTACATGATGACATTATTATGGATAAGAGAGAGAATATTTGTATTTGTCAAATGGCAGTCAAGCATCGGTCATCATGTTACCAGAATAAGAACTTCGATATTTATTGGAAAGGAGCATCAAGATCACTGTGCACTTTCACCACCCTGTGAAGTTCATCATAACTTCTTTCATATGTAGCCTAATAAACTGCATGGTTACCCGAGTCAAGTTAACTTCGATATGATGGTTATTTGAAAGGGATCTTAAAACACATATTTTTAGCTTTGCTTTTCCATAGGGTGCTTTCAGTTTTAAATTGTTTATTATTTTTATTTTTTGTTATCCTCATGTTTTTGTGTAGTAAATATTTCAGTTTTTATTTATTGTTTGTTTTTTCCTGTGAAGCGCATTGTGTTGCATGTCTGAAATGTGATATATAAATAAAGCTTGATTTGATGTGTGAGTGCACGTTCATCTCCATCTGTGTGCACACTGCATACCTGCCAGAATATGAAGTGCTCCCTGATGATGGTCCGGACCGCGTCGTTGCTCCACACGTCTCTGTTGAGACACTGGCAGGCAAAGTCCTGCACATTCTGGATGTTGATCATCAGCCACTTGTTCTCCAGCTGACCACAGTCCTTCGCCTAGAGAGAGAAAGGAGCCGGATAGGTATGAGCAATATGGTAATAGCTCCACTTTGCCCTCTGGTAGGCTAGGTGGAATTGTTGCCATACTGCTTAGAAACCTATTCAATCCTTTCAGCTAAGGGTGGTTTGGATGAGGGTTGACTGATAGTCCTCCAGGTCTAGGGAGCTTGGGTGTCCAGGGGGGAGGGGGCTCCTCACCGTCTCGAAGCTGCCTTTGTGCATGAGCTCGACGGGGGGCCGGAACAGATCCGCCAGGGTGCTGAGCTTCTTGTCCACCGCACTGCCGTTCCTTAGCTCCTGCTCCTGGCGGACTGAGGGAGGGCAGAAAAGCTGTTAGCGTATACAGTGAGCTCCAAAAGTATTGGGACAGTGACACGTTTCTTGTTGTTTTGGCTCTGTACTCCAGCACTTTGGATTTGAAATCATACAATGACTTTTGGAGCTCACTGTATAAGACAACCTGACCATGATCACAACACAAGTACTGCTTTAAGTAGTGCTTTGCCTGATGCCTGAGAGCTGGGTGGCACAATTCAGCAACATGGTTTTAGCACACAAACCCCCATTCTATGCAAACAAACACACACACACACAGACACATGTACACAAATACAGGTAGGCTACTTACTGGTTTCTGTTTGGAAGTCCCTAAAACCGTCAAATATGGACCGGGCAGGTCTTCGTCGTTTTGGCGCTGCGAGAGTTATGGATGCAGAGAGAGTGACAGACAGTTAGATGGACTGAGACGGCTACAGGGGGAAACATAGAGGGAGCGCCATTGAGATCAAGTTGTAGTGAGGTAGGCTAAATTATGGGGTGGCACTTCAGAACTGTACCTCCAAACATAGGCTCTGGCTCCACCAGTATGTCCTGCTTCTGAGGGATGGGCGCCCGCACTTCGTCACTACAAAAACAGACAGACAATATTCAACTTCAACTCCAGGAGAGCAGACCTTTCTTTTTCTTATTAACATGCTTTTAATTAAAAACAGCAGGGCCAGTATTGGCGATCTCAAAGTATGGGTTTGTTTCAACACAGGCTCTAAACAGGACTCTGCAGTGGTGGTTGGTGCGATGGAGCAGGCCACTGACTCACTCTGCGGGGGGAGCTCTGCTGCTGGAGGCCCCTGCTGAACTGGAGCTGGTGCTGGGCTCCTCTGCGATCCCCCCTCCGTCCAGGAACATGGACACTGCCATTTCTAGATTGTTGTTGCATGCTTCTAGCATATGCTTCCCCACACTCTCTGTGGCACCTGGGACAGTGTAGTAGCAGGCATGGAACACACACACACAGACTTAAAACACTGAAATATCAAATGTGGATGTTAAAAAAAGTTATCTGATGATTTAAAAATGGGAAATATATTTTCATGCATTGAATAATTTATTGGTTGGTTGACATAATCCCTATTATGAAATGTTTTCCTAGCTCTGAACCCCAAGGATCACTCACAAAAACATCGGACGGTTGTGCGCATGCGTTGTTCTTGTTTGAGCAACGCACTGGCAGAACAGAATAATGCCTGGCACTTTCACTATGTGAATGGTTAATCTCCGTGCATGGTAATCAAGAACTGCGTAAAATGTTGTGCAGTTTACCTGCAATCTAAACTTCCATGCAAGCATTGCTGGATATATAGATGGTTAGAGTTTATCATGTTCACTGCGCATGTCCGTTTCACTTTTCAAGTATTCTCGACAGAGAACATGGATACTGTCACACAAAAAAATGGGATGTATTTGGCCAAATTGCCATCTATATCTACATAATATAGAAACACTAAATTACCATTTTAGCCATGCAAACTTTGTGTAACGGTAACTTTAGCAGAGAGAGGCTGGTCCGGTGCTTCCGATCGCTTCTTGAACATGACAGGCGGGAGATGTTCCAGCCACCATTGCACTATAAGGCGGAACCTAGGCTAGGTTAGCTCGACTAGATAGATGTTCATGTTGTACCCAACGCCCATTCCACTAACACAAGACAACATGGCTAACGTTAGCTATTGCACCTCCAGATAGTCTAAATGACTTTTGGGGAAACTCTAGAAAGCAATTTTTGCGTGAGGCATCACCCCAAGACAATTCTAGTATTTCCTGTGGGTAATTTTATGTTAAGTTAGCTGCTCTATTCTGGTGATCACACACACTTGACGGTCGTGTGCTCCAGTTCGTTTTTCCCTTGATGACAGGGGGCAGTAAGCACTGATGCCCCGTTAGTTTCCTGCGCAGCTTTCTGTGATGCTTGGGCGACATGACTCTTTTTGGAACATAACTCATGAACAATGAACATTGCAAGAATTAAATGAAAAATATTTTTTTTACCTGTAATCGCTGTGAATTGTTGTATTAACCCATTCACCGCCGGAGCTGATCCATCCCCGAGCGCCGCCATCTTACCGCGACCAACAACAACACAAATGATTCACGTACGTACTGCCGTTGTGTACTCGCGAGCTTTGTCTAGATGCCTGTGTCACAGAAAGACTCGTGTTCGATTGTGGGTAATGTATTTCATTGCCCTGTCTCTGGTTTGACTACATTGGCTGAGTAGTAGGCCCGTACAGTTTACCAAGCTACCAATTACATAGCCTACCCTAAAGCTACCCTTAAGAAAATGTGTTTACTTAACTAACATTACTTTGAAAAAGTAGTTCACTACATCCAAACTACTATGTGAAAAATGATCATATCTAAAGATTAAATTGCAAGAACATCACTCTGGAGTCAGATGTTGACAGAATGTGTAATTTAGTGTGTTAAACACAAAAACCATTTCAAATGAGAATTAGACAGGTCTGATGCCAAAAAAGAAAGGAAATTCTTGCCTACCCATATTATTTTATTTTGGCCCAAAAAGTAGTGTAGTTCCAGTAGTTAGGTACACCGCTACATCAGTGGCGGCTGCTGAGGGGAGAACGGCTCATAATAACAGCTGGAACGGCGCAAATGGAATGGCATCAAACATTCCACTGATTCTGCTCCAGCCATTACCATGAGCCCATCCTCCCCACTTAAGGTGCCACCAACCTCCTGTGTGCTACATGGCTGAAAAGTAATGACTTACTAAAAACACTACCAAGATTTGAACTTAGTTAAACTACCACCAAACTACTGCAAAATGTAGTTAAATTACTAGTTGAACTACAAGGGTATCCTTTTAAGTGAAACTGTTATGTTCTCCTCTCTTCACAGTACTGACAATAGTACAGTAGTTGTAGTCAGTACATGTAAGATATTTTATACAGTGCATGCATAAGGCTGCGTTTACACAGGCAGTTTTTCCCCCCCCCACTAATTGATCTTTTGACCAATCAAATCAGTTCTTTACATATCAGATATTTTTCGGGGCTGATCTAATTGGTCAAAAGTATTGGGCTGCCTGTGTAAACACAGCCATAGTGGCTTACAATCTATTCACTAATATGTCAGTTTAGTGGTGTAAGCATTTGTAGGAAAACATCTAATTTGAAGTAACTTTATTATTTAGTCTTTTATAATACAATCAGTTCAAAAACAGTCAACGAAGTGCTTTGTCAAACATAACTAAAAATGAGCAAAAAATTAAAGTGATTTGTGTGGCATTGTTCTCTGAACCCATCGGAGGGACTGGGACTAGTGGGGCAGATATAAATCCCTTGTATAGAACTGTCAACTTGTCTAGCAAAGGGAGGAGTCAATAGTTGAAATTCTATACATTTTATTTCTATCTGTAACATTCCAAATGAATAAGCCCCAGTTGTATGGGTAACCTTTCACTATTCAGGTAAGAATAGAAGTTGTCCCTAACCACTGATACAGGGTCATTCCACTAGTGGTTTAGGTTCAAATCTGATTTGGGTACAGAAAGTTTATCTGATCCTAGATCTGTGGTTAGAGGCAACTTCTGACTCTGTTGGTGCACTGCATGAACATACAGATCCTGAGCAATCTGGTAAAAAAACATTTTACACCACAAACACACTCCTTCCCTTCCACATACCACACATTTATTCAGACAGACCCCACTGATACAGGTCAATAGGTCATCTGAGCCCATTTCTGTTCCAAGAACACTGTTCACTTCTGTTCCAAGTTTCCCTTGAAGTGTCCCAGTAAGTGCAAACTATAGGTGACTCCATAAATGTATATGCATGGGCTTTTCACTTTGATGGAAACATGATTACAGATTGTCATATTTTCCTTAATCCATCATCTCAAAACATGAGGATCATTGCCTGAAAATAAAGGAGTGCTGAATGTCACCACCACTGAATGTCAGTTGCTTTTGACAGCGGTAAGATTTACTTATGGACTAATACACTGAAAAAAAACAAACGCAACATGTAAAGTGTTGATCTCATGTTTCATGAGCTGAAATAAAAGTTGGCTGAAATTTTTAATACGCACAAAAAGCTTATATTTCTCTCAGATTTTGTGCACACATTTGTTTACATCCCTGTTAGTGAGCATTTCTCCTTTGCCAAGATAATCCATCCACCTGACAGGTGTGGCATATCAAAAAGCTGATTAAACAGCATGATCATTACACAGGTGCACCTTGTGCTGGGGACAATAGAAAGCCACTCTAAAATATGCAGTTTTGTTACACAATACAATGCCACAGATGTCTCAAGTTGAGGAGGCGAGCAATTGGCATGCTGACTGCAGGAATGTCCACCAGAGCTGTTTCCAGAGAATTGAATGTTCATTTCTCTACCATAAGCCGCCTCCGTCGTTTTAGAGAATTTGGCAGTACGTCCAACCGACCTCACAACCGCAGACCACGTGTATGGCGTTGTGTGGGCGAACAGTTTGCTGAAGTCAACGTTGTGAACAGACTGCCCCATGGTGGCGGTGGGGTTACGGTATGGGCAGGCATAAGCTACGGACAACAAACACAATTGCATTTTATCGATGGCAATTTGAATGCACAGGGATACCGTGACAAAATCCTGAGGCCCATTGTCGTGCCATTCATCCGCCGTCATCACCTCATGTTTCAGCATGATAATGCACGGACCCATGTCGCAAAGATCTGTACACAATTCCTGGAAGCTGAACATGTCCCAGTTCTTCTATGGCCTGCATACGCAGACATGTCCCCCAATTGAGCATGTTTGGGATGCTCTGGATCGACATGTATGACAGTGTGTTCCAGTACCCGCCAATATCCAGAAACTTCTCACAGCCATTGAAGAGGAGAGGGACAATATTCTACAGGCCACAATCAACAGCCTGATCAACTCTGCAAAGGAGATGTCGCGCTGCATGAGGCAAATGGTGGTCACACCAGATACTGACTGGTTTTCTGATCCACCCCCTACTATATATATTTTTTTTTTCAAAAGGTATCTGTGACCAACAGATGCATATCTGTATTCCCAGTCATGTGAAATCCATAAATTAGGGCCTAATGAATTTATTTCAGTTGACTGATTTCCTTATATGAACTGTAAATTGTTAAATTCATTTTTTTCAGTATAGCTCAGATTGCAGAGTAATTTGAATTAGGACATTGAATCAAAGACCAAGTTTGATTATTTACAATCAAAAGGGATGTTGACCCATTCAAAACATATCTGTTTCATAAAAAACTAAATAAAAAACAAAAAACAAACCAATGAAATCCTATGGCAAAATCCCACTCCTCCCCTTGACATGTGGTTCTACTCTCTGGTCTATGGTAACTGGGTCATGTTCATTAGGAAGAAACACAAAACAGAGTAACTATCTGATCTTGTCCAAGAAACGCTTGTTTCCGTTTTGCCCCATTGCAGAATGCTCTGCTACGTTTATTCCTAATGCACAAACCCCTGGTTTGTTTCTTGGTGTAGCCATGATTTAGCACTCAGAACAGCACATTTGCTTTATTGTCCCGAAGCCGAACAGTTTCAGCTAGAGTACAAAGAGTACGCTTCTTTGATGTGACAGGGCATTAATTAAGTTAAATCCTTCACTTTGAACAATAGACCACGAGACAGTGTCTGTTTGCAATGTAGCTACAATATGAGGGCAGCTTAGTGTTATGATGAGCTAAATATGCCCCTAGCAAACACATCGACATGGACCCCGTGTCAGCACCACTAAAGGCAGCAGCTACCATAGTGTCACATTCTGTTTTACACATTTAATCATTCAAATTCTTTAAAATAATATAAACAAATAAGACTGACATCTGGTGAGTGTAGACCTTCCTGAAGCTAACGCGATGACCACTCAAATAGACCATCAGAAACACCTCCTTGCCAGGTGCAGAGCAACTTCAATAACAAAGAGAGAAAACAGACTGCCTTCTCCTTTCTATCCCTCCAGACAAAAGGACAATCAGGCAGTGTGATCATTCCCTACTCCACATCCAAAGGGGGGGAAAGAGGGAGAAAAGAGAGGTAGGGGAGGACAGAGAGGGGAGGGGGGAGGACAGAAAGGGGAGGGGGGAGGACAGAGAGGGGAGGGGGGAGGACAGAGAGGGGAGGGGGGGGTCCTTTTGACATCCCTGCAGCTCACACTCCTCCCAGCCCCTATCCAGTCCAATTCTGGGAATAAATTAATAAGATTAACATAATACCATAGGTCAGGTGGTGTGCGTGAGTGTAAGTGCGTGAGTATGTACATGCGTGCTTGTGTGTTTTACATGACAGAGGGTAAGGCAGGAGAAAAGTGATGGTCGGAATGTGTGCGTGTGTGTTGGAGTGTGTGTGGTATACAAGGACACTCGTGTGTATCTGTAGGTGTGTGCCTGTGGTGAATTAGTCTTGAGTGCAGTAAGCAGAGGTCCATTTTGCGGTTGCAGGGGAAGAACGGTGAGTGGAGGGACACTGAGGTGGGAGTGTGAACCGGTCAAAAGCGGATGAAGGTGGCATCGATCTGGCGTACGGTGGGCAGAGCCAGCATAATCTTCCTGCGATATTGGGGGTCTTTCTGTAAGGGGTTCCTCTCCAGGTACACAGTCTCCAGGGCCTTGGCGCTCTTCAGTTCATCCAGATCTGACCAGTTCTCTATCTGATTATCATTCATCTGGGAAAGATGAGTTGACATGTTATTCAAATACGTTTTCCAATCTGCAACAGACCAATTTTTTCCCTCCAACAAGTGACAGTGCTCTATTTTTTATTATAAAACTGGGTGGTTCGAGCCCTGAATGCTGATTGGCTGAAAGCCGTGGTATATCAGACCGTTTCTTGTTACTGCTCTAATTACATTGGTAACCATTTTGTAATAGCAATAAGGCACCTCAGGTGTTTGTGGTATATTGCCAATATACCACAGCTAAGGGCTGTATGGAGGCAGGCGTTGCGTCGTGCGTAAGAACAGCCCTTAGCCGTGGTACATAGGCCATATACCACACACCCCCAGGACTTATTGCTTAAATGACTCATCCATTCTTTCTCTTTCCTATTCACCATGAACCTTAAAATCTCTCTTTTCCTCTTACCCAGAATTCCTGTAGGTCTGTTAGATGGCTGATGTTTTCGATTTTCTTTACCCGGTTGGCTGCGATGTCCAGAGTTGTGAGCTTTTTCTATATGTGGATAAACAGCATCAAATTGAGACACACTTCGATTTGATTTATGAAACTATTATTGGCATTGAACTAGCGTGCAGACACCGATTCAACATGGATTTTGCAATAACTACAGTACATGTAATTGCAAATGACTACATGCATTGGCTGTGTGTAGAGCATTTTACCACATCACTTCATTGGGTTATTGGGCTTCCATAAACATTGCATTCCTGCTGTAATTTTATCAGTCGCCATGGCAATGTGCATGGCCCTACAGTCATGTGGTTGCCATTGACAGTGACTCACGTTGTTCTCCAGGCCCTCAATGACCTCGATGCCATTGTGACTCAGGTAGAGCTCCTTCAGGTTGACCAGACCCTGCAGACCCTCCATCTTGGTGATGCGGTTACTCTGGAGAGAAAGGAACAACATATCCTCAGAGACCAACATCCACTTGTCTTTCATAATGTACCGTCATCATGAGTAGATGTATTTCTACAGTTCAGGGCGACTAAACAGCACAAACAACCGAGTTGGGTCACTAAAGCAAGAAAATGTGCGTGCAACATTTCTGCAGTGTATTCAGTGTTTTCAAACACATTAATACATTACAGGAAGCAGTAGTGATGTGTTGTGTGTCAGGGTTGGGGTCAATTCAGAAAGTAAACCAAATTCAAATTCCAAATTGAAAATAATTGGAATTTCAGTGCACTTCCAGAATTGAAATGGAATTGACCCCAACCATGGTGTGTGTGTACCTGGATGCTGAGGACTGTCAGGTTGTGAAGGCCCTCCAGATGCTGCAGCTGAGTGATCTTATTGGTGCCCAGAAACAGACTTGTCAAGGAGGAAAGCCCGTCCAAGTTCTCTATTAGCTGGAAACACACAAAGGAGGCACGCACACAAATTAGGGCAATCATTCCTCACCTCTTTAAAGCAACAACGACTTTCTGTTGCAGAGTGACTGCCAATTGTGAGACATCACTCAAACCAAATCTATACCAATGCAAAGACATGTATATGTTCTACACTTTCCAATTATATTCCAATGTTATGCCAATATATGATCTACTCATTCCAATTCTATGTGAATATGCAATTGACTGCCTGTGACCCCTGACCCTTGGCCTCTGTCTTACCCGGATGCGGTTGGAGCCCAGCTCCAGCATCTCCAGGCCGGTGAGGTGGTCCAGGTTGGCGATGTGGCTGATCTTGTTGTGCAGCAGAAAGAGCTTCTTTAGCCCCGTCAGACGCTCCAGACCCTCCACCTTCCTAAGCAGATTGAAGGAGACGTCCAGCTGACTGGAGATCAGAGTCAAAACACATTCAGGTTTAATTCAACTTTACTGTATTTAAACTTTTTGTGCGAAATGGTGCATGAAGTAACATTTGCTTCAGTCAGTGTATATGGGGAGAGGTTAGTAAAGGTTGGTCATTGAGGCAATCTCTAGGTCAGCTGATAGGGAGGGAAACACTGGTGTGTGTGGTACCGTCAGACTCACTCCAGCTCTGTGAGGGTCTGCAGGTTCTCAAGTTTGCGGATCTGGTTGTCATAGAGATCAAGCTCCTTCAGCGTCACTAACGTCTCCAGGTTCTCAATCGTCTTGATCAGGTTCTGCCTTAGAGAGAGCGTCTGGACACACACCACATTTAGCATCAAATCATCTAGTCATACTGTTTGTGCAGACAGTCTCCTTTACTTCATTGTGATTACGTCACCTATGTTCTCTATAAAATAGCCATATTATGTTTTTACAATGTGTGAATGAGACAATAGTCAGCCTACTGACCTTAGCCTTCCTCAACACCTCCAGTCCCTCAATCTTCCCAATACGACAGTGGACAAGATCAACATCCTGGGAATAAGAGAGGGGTAGGTGTTAGGTAGAGAACTACATTGGAATAACATTCATAATTCCATGAGGCAAACTGTTATGGCAACATTTACATTTTTGTCATTTAGCAGACGGTCTTATCCAGAGCGACTTACAGGAGTAATTAGGGTTAAGCACCTTGCTCAAGATTTTTTACCTAGTCTACTCTGGGATTTGAACCAGCAACCGTTCGGTTACTGGCCAAACGCTCTTAACCACCTGCTGCCCTTATAACACTACTCCCCCTCCCTCACCTCTTCCTCTGGGTCCAGGGTTATGGTATCCATTTCAACGGGAGACTCTTCTTTAACTGCTTACAAAAAGAGACATATCAAGGGGTGATTTAACACAACCACAGCATCTAACTAGAGTAACTAGTAACTTCAATTTGTGCTTATGAAGCGTGACACTTGTGTACAACTATAGCTTGTGTCTAGCCCCCACCTGTGGTTGGGGGCTGATTGGGGTCCACCTCCCCATTGATGCTCTTCCTCCTGGTCTCATCATCTCCAGACTCCTCTGACTCTCCCTTCCGGTCCACTGCACACAGAGAACAGATGGAAAGGGGGATACCTAGTCAGTTGTACAACTGAATGCATTCAACCAAAATGTGTCTACCGCATTTAACCCAACCCCTCTGAATCAGAGAGGTGCAGGGGCTGCCTCAATCGACTTTGGCGCCCGGGGAACATTGGGTTAACTGCCTTGTTCAGGGGCAGAAAGACATAATTTTACCTTGTCAGCTCGGGGATTCGATCCAGCAACCTTCCGGTTACTGGCCCAACGCTCCTACCAGGAACAGGCAGGGTCAATCACTTAAATGTAGTTAGGTTATTATAAAGAAAACGCAAACGCCCATGTAGCAGGCTCACGTGATACCGTGCTCTGACATCTCGTTATGGGTGGCTCTGTCTGCAATCTACTGCTAGCTGATTAGTCGCATGTTCATCATTAGCAAAGTATATTTATACTTAGCTAACTACTACACCTTGTTTTGAACATAAAGGTTTTTTTCCCGACTGCATCTGTCTGATATTTTAGATGTTGAAGAATCTGACAGAGCTAGAGGACTGGCCAGCAAGGACCAACCAGCTAGCTAGCGTAGCTTGATAGACCAATCACCATGAAATGTTCCCACTTCAAGAACACTCAGTTGCTAGACTAACTTGCTTGTGAGTGGATGAGACGGTCATTATTTCATAGCTAATGTTAGCTAGTTACATTAAACAAAGGATGCCATTAAAACAAAATACATTAGACATGCTAGTGTAGCTACATAGCTGTTTGCTTGCGCACGAAAACAAGCTGTTATTGAATGATTTATCTAACAAGGTAGCTAGCTACTAGCTAGCTGGCTAACAACATTAGCTACTTAGCTAGCTTAGCATGTTCAGGGAGGGAGGAGACAAAGTAGCACAAAATAAAATCCCCTGGGGGGTGGGAAGATGCGGCTATACATCAATATCAATTTCATCACCCTCATGATAAACTATTTGTAATGCCGTATTTTAAATGTTCACTCACCTTCCATCTCTTGAGGATCTCCAACAGACAGGGTAGCCATGTTTGTTTCTTGATAAACCCTCGCTTTTTTAGTGGTAATCTCCTCAGCCAATCAGGAGGCTGCATCTTTGGTGCGGTCCCTTCCTTCTAAAGGGGTGCCGCCACTGGCCATAATATACCATTCATCCGCTTTGTGTGCGATATTCAAGATCACATTTGCATGAGAAAATATAAAGAAAGACAGAATATGTAGGTCGTGTTTATTCACCGTGGAAAATATAAGAGCTGCGACGCTACCATAAAGAGCAGTGTAATGTCACTTTTTGGCCACAAGATGGTGCCAATCACACATATGTACAAGCGCCACAATCACACAGCTGGAGGACATACAGTACATAGCCCATCAACAAGGGCAGAAAAATATAATAAGAATAGTAGGTTTCAGGGAAGGTCATCCATATCCAGAAACGTGCTATAGGGGGATGGTGTATGAGTTGATGTACTTTATCTACTTCACTGGTATGCCTATGTGACCATCCCTGGGCTATGAATAACAGCAGGGATCGGCAAAAGGCGGCCCGCGGGCCAAAACAGGCCCTCAAGTGATTTGTTTTGGGCCCCCAAAGTTTTCTGTAAAATAATTAAATATAAAAAAATTGATTTTCGTTTTTGGTCAAAAGAAACTGTAAAACTGTAAAATCACCAGGAATTCATTTAATTTCGGAAATATTTTCCCAAGTATTCCCACAAATAAAGAAGAGACATACAGTACCAGTCAAAGGTTTGGACACACCTACTCATTCAAGGGATTTTCTTAATTTTTTTTACTATTTTCTACATTGTAGAATAATAGTGAAGACATCAAAACTATGAAATAACATATATGGAATCATGTAGTAACCAAAAAAGTGTTAAACAAATCAAAATATTTTTTATATTTGAGATTCTTCAAATAGCCAGCCTTTGCCTTGATGACAGCTTTGCACACTCTTGGCATTCTCTCAACCAGCTTCATGTGGTAGTCACCTGGAATGCATTTCAATGAACAGGTGTGCCTTCTTAAAAGTTAATTCTTAATGCGTTTGAGCCAATCAGTTGTGTTGTGACAAGGTGAGAACAGCTCAAATAAGCAAAGAGAAACGATAATCCATCATTACTTTAAGACATGAAGGTCAGTCAATACTGAAAGTTTCTTCAAGTGCAGTCGCAAAAATCATCAAGCGCTATGTTGAAACAGGCTCTCATGAGGACCACCACAGGAATGGAAGACCCAGAATGGAAGACCTCTGCTGCAGAGGATAAGTTCATTAGAGTTACCAGCCTCAGAAATTGCAGCCCAAATAAATGCTTCACAGAGTTCAAGTCACAGACACATCTCAACATCAATTGTTCAGAGGGGACTGTGTGAATCAGGCCTTCATGGTCAAATTGCTGCAAAGAATCCACTACTAAAGGACACCAATAAGAAGAAGAGACTTGCTTGGGCCAAGAAACACGAGCAATGGACATTAGACAGGTGGAAATGTGTCCTTTGGTCTGGAGTCCAAATTTGAGATTTTTGGTTCCAACCACCGTGTCTTTGTGAGACGTGGTGTGGGTGAACAGATGATCTCCGCATGTGTAGTTACCACCGTAAAGCATGGAGGAGGAGGTGTTATGGTGTGGGGGTGCTTTGCTGGTGACACTGTCTGTGATTTATTTAGAATTCAAGGCACACTTAACCAGCATGGCTACCACAGCATTCTGCAGCAATACGCCATCCCATCTGGTTTGGGCTTAGTGGGACTATAATTTGTTTTTCAACAGGACAATGACCCAACACACCTCCAGGCTGTGTAAGGGCTATTTTACCAAGAAGGAGAGTGATGGAGTGCTGCATCAGATGACCTGGCCTCCACAATCCCCCGATCTCAACCCAATTGAGATGGTTTGGGATGAGTCAGATGGCAGGGTGATGGAAAAGAAGCCAACAAGTGCTCAGCATATGTGGGAACTCCTTCAAGACTGTTGGGAAAGCATTCCAGGTGAAGCTGGTTGAGAGAATGCCAAGAGTGTGCAAAGCTGTCATCAAGGCAAAGGGTGGTTATTTGAAGAAGAAGGGGCTCTGTAGGGTCTGTTTGTGTTTGTGAACAGAGCCCCAGTACCAGCTTGCTTTCGTGACTCTTCTCCAGGTTCATCTCTCTATAGGTGATGGCTTTGTTATGGAACGTTTGGGAATCGCTTCCTTTTAGGTGGTTGTAGAATTTAATGGCTATTTTCTGGAGCTTAAGCTCCAGTACACAGAGTGAGACCGAGACACTGCTGTTCATGTTATCTTGACACAGATCTTTACACCCAAAACAATATTCCCCCCCATTGCGTGCCAAGATTGATAGGAGATGATCTCTTCAGACACTACTGCTGGTGAATGGGACTACTTCACTCCTGACCCAGTGTTGTGCTGTCTGAAGCACACAGTGGTAAAATTCTCTAAAGCATGTGAGTGATCATTCTTTGATATACTCCCTGTGCATCACATGGATACCATAATATGCCCTAGTTAGTACATGGAGATAACAGCATGCTCTTTGACCACTTCTTCATATGAGTTGCTGCCTCCTTGACCTATTTTGTTTTCTTTGTATTGCAGAAAATGCTTTGGAGAAACAAAATACAATGCAATTCACTGTTGTTGTCTTAACACACACACACACACACACACACACACACACACACACACACACACACTGTAGCCTATGTACACTGGGGTTTGATAGTGTGTGTGTTCCCTCTTGTGTTCAGCTGTGGGACAATGAGTCAGACACAAATAGACTGAACTCTACACATCTCATCTGTGCTCTAGTTCTGTTTGTACCTGTAGAGTAATGATGTTTGAAAACATCCACCTCTGCAACAGAGGAAGATACATACTGTATATGGACATAGCATTCATACTCCTGTCCTGCCGTATGTCTAATATCTGGTAACAATGTCTAGAAACATCCAAGAACAAACGGTTCTGTACTAGTAGTATAGTTGCCAAGGAAGAGGTATGTGGTCAATTCCTTTAGAAATATGCACATTTTCTCACCATTTAAATTAGAGAAATGTTTTATGAAAAAACCCTGAATGTTTGTAGTTTCACAATTCAGCTTGTAAACACTAACTGGATGCCATACATTAACTTTCTAGTTGGATGATCTCAAAAACAACTTAAAGCACTTTACAGGAGGAATGATCTCTAGGTCCAAAAGGCTCCTTAACAGCTTCTACCCCCAAGCCATAAGACTGCTGAATCATTAAACAAATGGCCACCTGGAATATTTGCATTGATTTGATGATTTGAAAACAATTCAGGGGCATTTGTAACTGTTATTGGAATATTTTATATGTCCGTCTGTCTATCAGACTGTTATGGAAGCATTTAGCTGGCGAAACTCAATTGGAAATGCAAATGGTCAAATGATAAATAAATATAATGTTTGCAATTCCTTTTCCTAAATGGGTATGCATTTGTTGTGACAAAATTCAAATTCCAAGTACTATATTTACCCTTAAACCACACAGAGTATGGAAAAGCATTTTCAATTGCCAATTGAGAATTATTTATATTTTTGTCACAATTCATGCTATCACATTAAGTAAATGAAATTGCAAACATGAGAAATGATTGTCATTTAAGCATTTACATTACATTTTTAAATGTGTCAGTGTTGTACTGGATGGTACCATGGAAATGAAATATCAAACACACTTTGTTATTTCTTTTTCAAATTGGCAGACATTATGCATACTCAATCATGAAAATTATACTGCAATATCAATCAAATGTATTTATAAAGCCCTATTTACATCAGCAGATGTCACAAAGTGCTATACAGAAACCCAGCCTAAAACCCCAAACAGCAAGCAATGCTGATGTAGAAGCACGGTGGCTAGGAAAAACTCCCTAGAAAGGCAGGAACCTAGGAAGAAACCTAGAGAGGAACCAGGCTCTGAGGGGTGGCCAGTCCTCTTCTGGCTGTGCTGGGTGGAGATTATAAGAGTACATGGCCATTTAAGGACAGATTGTTCTTCAAGATGTTCAAACGTTCATAGATGACCAGCAGGGTCAAATAATAATCACAATGGTTGTAGAGGGTGCAACAGGTCAGTACCTCAGGAGTAAATGTCAGTTGGCTTTTCATAGCCGAGCATTCAGAGGTCGAGACAGCAGGTGCGGTAGAGAGAGAGAGAGTTGAAAACAGCAGGTCCGGGACAAGGTAGCAATTCCGGTGAACAGGTCAGGGTTCTCTAGCCGCAGGCAGAACAGTTGAAAATGATACCCCCTGACAGGGCTAAACAGGCAGGATATAACCCCACCCACTTTGCCAAAGCACAGCCCCCACACCACTAGAGGGATATCAACAG